ACTGGGGTTCGAGCCTGTAACTGAGGTATGTGCCCTTGACTGGAATCGAAGCTGAGCTCCTTCAGTCCACAGGTCGATGCTCTGTCCACTGAGCCAAACAAGCTAGGGCAGAACCTGATTCATGTTGATTGGCATTATTTGGGCTCTGGAAGTTCTCCTAAGCCATAGTCAATAGCGACTAAGGCTATCTCCACTTATTAGATTGAGTTGAGATGGAGAGCACGAACTGTAGTGTCAAGAAAAACACTAAACTATCTGAATGTGCTGAAAGCAGTGTTTCCATTTGTAGAAGTACAAACACCCTGCTGCTTACTCCCTCAGGCCTGTGAGTGTGCTGTGTCAGCATCGCCTGCGTAGACTAGATCCATTTCTAAATCTTTTAAGTGTACAATTTCTAACAAAACCTACTCAGCCCACAAGGAATAGAGTCATCTATGGAATTTCTCCTAACCACTGCCAGGCTCTGGACATGTAGCTAAAGTGCTTGCTGGTCCCATTTTACTTACTCCAGGGGAGGTGGAGATGCCAGCACTGATCCCCAAGCTTAAGGGTGGTGTCTGAGCACTGCATATTACACCATCCACAGTGTAGGTGTAATCAGGCCCAGAGCTGAACTGACTGAGTAAAGACCAGTGGCAAGGAGGCATGTAGGAGTGTGTGTGAGCAGTCAGGGTGTGTGTGAGCAATCAGGAGTGTGTGTGAACAGACAAGGATATGTGTGAGTAGTCAGGAGTATGTGTGAACAGTAAGGTGTGTGTGAGCACTCAGGAGTGTGTGTGAGCAGTCAGGATTTGTGTGTGAACAGACAGGGATATGTGTGAGTAGTCAGGAGTGTGTGTGAGCAGAGAGGGATATGTGTGAGTAGTCAGGAGTGTGGGTGAGCAGTCAGGAGTGTGTGTGAGCAGTCAGTGTGTGTGTGTGTGTGTGTGTGTGTGTGTGTGAGCAGACAAGGATATGTGTGAGCAGTCGGATGTGTATAAGCAGACAGAGATATATGTGAACAGTCAGGAGTGTGTGTGAACAGTCAGGAGTGTGTTTGAGCAGTCAGGAGTGTGTGAGCAGTCAGGGTGTGTGTGTGTGTGTGTGTGTGTGTGAGAAGTCAGGAGTGTGTGAGTAGTCAGGGTGTGTGTGTGTGTGCAGACAAAGATGTGTGTGAGCAGTTGGGTATATGTGAGCAGTCAGGAGTGTGTATGCAGTCAGCAGGAGTGTGTATGAGCAGTCAGGAGTGTGTATGAGCAGACGGTTATGTGTGAGCAGCCAGGAGTGTGTGTGAGCACTTAGGGTATGTGTGAGTATACAAGGATATATGCGAGCAGACAGGGATATGTGTGACCAGTCAGGAGTGTGTGTGAGCAGTCGGGTGTGTGAACAGTCAGGAGGAGCTGGGGGCGTGGCTGGGGCTGGATAGCGAAGGGGTAGGGCGGGCCAAGTCTGAGGCATGAATTCTGTTCTTTTCCAAACCCTCTTAGAAGTAGCCTCTCTAGAACATTTCGTCCTAGACTAACCCGCCCTCCCTGCAGAGCAGTGGGTGAGCCAAGGTGCCTTCTCTAGGGCTGGGGAGAGAACGCCACATAGCGCTTATTTATGAGAGCAATCCATCACTTGTCACTGCTGTGCTGACGGGAATGGCCTGGCATGGGCTTTTAAATACAAATGGACAAGCACTTAGAGGCTCATTATATTATACATTTGCCAACAGATTCTCTTAGAACAACAGTCTGTCTGGAGCTTATATCTGAGACCAAAAATGGAATTCTGACCCACCTCTGGGCGGGAGGCTTGGTGGCTGAGACCTAGGCAGTGCCTGGTGTGGTGTGGGGTGTTCTTTTTATTCCCAAGGGGTGGTCAGAATTTCCCTGTAGCTTGTAAGGGTGTGTCACCACCCTTCTGGGAAGGACTTCCAGAGCCTCTGGACTGTGGGGACTGAAGTGATGCCTGCCAGCTGCCAGTGGCTGACAGCTGAGAAGAGGCTGGTCTAACTGGAGGCTGCTGTCTTTTCTAAAGTCTGAGTTATAAAAATACAGCAGTCATTATAGAAAACTTGTATTAGTTCCATTTCTCTGTGGACGTATTTGAACTGTGCATTGTCTGTTACCTCCAGGGGAAAGTTAATGTGTGAAAGAAGGTCATTTCAACCCCACCTTCAAACTTGACAGTGCCCAGGCAGTTGGTGTTTCAGTGCTCCTAGCATGCTGAACGGAGTGCAGCTCAGAATTTTTTTCAACAGTTAGCCAAACTTTCCAGAGAAGTCTGCGTGACAATTGGCTTTGAGGGACTTGGGGCCCTGCTCTGTTCCTGGACCTATTGAGTTCTCCTGGTCTGTTAAAACCATCGGGCCTTAGTTCTGAGTACAAGACGCTGCTCTGGAGAGAAGCAAGTCAGCATCATCTGAGGCTGCAAATTCTGTGAGAGCTTTGTGGCCTCAGATTAGCTGCTTTTGCTGTGTCACTTATTTTCTTCAATATCAGGCCACATGTCATGGCCTGCTATTCTTGATAATTCCTGTCTGTAAGAAGTTGGAAGCATCATGGGGGGATGTGTTGTCCTTATGATTGGCATATTTAACACATTCTTGTGTGCAAATTGATGATGACTGTCGAAGCACATTTTGAACTTAAAAATAACTTTAACCGTAGGGTTCTGAGTTTTGAGGTTCTGACCCAGAATTCTGGCAGAGCTCCAGATTGCTTTAGTAGGTATAGGGAATATCACTCTCCCAGGGTGGAGATGGACAGGTCACTTTTAACCAATATCCAGCTCAAGGCAGTCAGGCAGGAGGAAATTCTCTTTATTCACAGGAGGGTTAGCCTCTTATTCTAGTCAGGAAGAGCCATATTTAGAATTTGAAGTTAGAAAAAGCATGTCTCTGAGGGACCAGCACGCGGAGAAAGCAGGTGCCGTATGGCTGGGCACCGGGCCGGATGCTGACGAGCCCACTCCAGGCCCCGCAGGCGTGCTGCTCGTCCCAGTGAGACCGGTGATGGCACCCAGCACTGCCGCCCCAGGCTGCCTGGTCCACACCCTCCCTGTCCTGGGGGTGGGAGTGGGGGGTGAGGCTGGGGCACCCCGAGCCCAGCCAGGCCCCCGGGGGGTTGCACCTTGCAAGTGGCATCGGGCTGAGGGGACCCGTGTGCCACTGCTCGGCTATTTGCACAAAACAAACAAGAAGTGGATTGAACGGCGTCTGGCTTCTGAGTGGCGAGGCTTTCTAACCCGGTGTGGGAAAGGCAGAGAAATGGACTGATTTCTTCACTGTGTCGGTGCTGCCGGTTAGAAGCCACGACGCTGACGGACATGGCACCCCTGGCTGAGGCGCTGCACGCCCCTCGGCACTGGCTCTACCGGGAGGGACGTGTCAGACGCCATGGACAGGAGGGGCGGGCCGAGGGTGGGGGAGCCCCTGGCAGCCCAGCAGCGGCCGAGAAACCTTGGAGAAACCTTGGGCCCACGCACTGGCTGCTGCCCACAAACCTGTTGGTGGCTTGTGAATTCTGAGCCGTGTACCTGATTCCAAAAGTAAATAAACTGGCATTTGATCAGCGCAAAAAAAAGAAAGAAAGAAAGAAAGAAAGAAAGAAAGAAAGAAAGAAAGAAAGAAAGAAAGAGCATGTCTCTGCTCTTGTAGCAAGGCAGGAGGGGTTTCCTCTTCTAGTGGGAGAGTCAGCCTTCTGTATTGAGGCCTTCACCTGATTGGATGAGGCCCAGCACATTGGGGAGAGCCGTCAGCTTTATTCCATCCACTGATTTAAATGTGAATCTCATTCAAAACAACCTCACAGACACATCCAGAATACTGTGGCCCAGTAAGTTGACACATGAAATTAATCACCACACACTGTTTGCACAGAGACCCTAGACCCTATGCCTGGCAGTTGGGGACTGTGTAAGTTGGTTGCCATTCATTCATTCATTCATTCACTCCACAAGTACATGTGCAAAGAAAATTGAAGTGAAGGACATTTTCCAAAATGCTTACTGCAGCTGGTCATCTCTGTGTAGTGGGGTTTCAGGTTGGCACTGGGATTCCTTCTCTCCAATTGTCTTCAGTCAATATCTATGCATTGTGTTTTAAATGAGGTGGGGAGGTGCCACTTTTTAAAAAAAGTTAGATGACCCAATTTAATTCTTAATATACTGTCCCATGACATGTTTAACTCTGTCCCCTCCTTTTAAAGAATCCTGTGCTTCCTTCGTTGTGTAAACTGATGCTCATCACTTCAGAAAGGCGCCCAGTCTGTGTCTTACAAGATAGGGGCTGGATTTCTTTTTTTTCTTTTTTTTAAAATATATTTTATTGATTTTTTTGTATAGAGTGGAAGGGAGAGAGATAGAGAGTTCGAAACATCAATGAGAGAGAGTCATTTATCAGTTGCCTCTTGCACACCCCTTACTGGGGATATGCCCGCAACCAAGGTACATGCCCTTGACTGGAATCGAACCCAGGGCCTTTCAGTCCCCAAGCTGACGCTCTATCCATTGAGCCAAACCGGTCCCGGCTAGGGGCTGGATTTCAAAAGGACCCAATTGTCTGTTTTTTTATTATTATTTTTTTTAAAAGCTCACCCCTTTAAATATGTGGGGTTTTTTAAAATTGATTTCATAGAGAGGAAATGAGAGGTAAATATAGAGAGAAACATCAATGATGAGAGAGAATCATCTATCTGCCTCCTGCATGCCTCCTAATAGGAATGAAGCCTGCATTCTGGATATGTCCCCTGACCCGGAATCAAACTGTGACCTCCTGGTTCATAGGTCAATGCTTAACCACTGAACCACACCGGTGGGCTGTTTTATGATGCTTTTTAAAGACAGTTTTGTTTTTAGAATTCTTCAGAAACTTGTAGGTAAGATTTGCTTCAATTCACGTTAATAAGGCTCTATTACAACTTCATAATTTCTTCATAATTCTCTCTTCTCCTCCTGCCCTTTCCTCTGATTTACTATAAAGTGAAGACTGGCTGCCTCTGAAGTGAAGACCTGCTCTCTCTCTCTTCCTATAGTGCTCCACCGATACAGACACATCTTGGGATTGTGGCAGCCAGATATCGGGCCCTATGGAGGACTGCTGAATGTGGTGGTAAGTCTGAGAGCCTCGAGTGTGGATTCCTGTGAAGTCAGGACTGCTGTCCCACATGGACGGAATGTGGTGCCTTTTCTACAGGAGGGGCAGACAGCTGCTTTCTGTGTGACGTTAGCGTAATCACAGGAGCTTCTCATCAGGGTATGTTTGTGGCCCTCGCTGGTTTAGTGCAGAACAGCAGTCTCCTCCCAGTGAAGGCTGCGTGTGCTCTGAACGGTGCCTTTTGAATAGCCCTGGGCCCGGATGTCGCTGTAGCTGACGTCGAAATAAAACAAAGTCAGGTGCCCCCTGGGGAGTGCTGGTGTGTTGCTCCTGCCTTCCCTCTTGTTGGCACGTGCCAGAAGCCCAGTCCAGGAGACTGTCTGCACATCATGTAATGGTAGTGGGTCTGCCTCGCAGAGGCCTCTGGGTAGTCTCGGTGTAGCTCTGCTGAGCCCTGTCCAGGTGGGCTGCCCGGTGATGCTAGTTACTCTGTCACTCTGTATATTTTGCTCGGCAGGGGGGTTTTGGACAGGGATAAATACTGCTTTATATTTTTTCATATTTGGTAGAAACATTCATTAAGAAACACATTTACATGTGTTATGTTTAATATCCCTGGGGAAAAGTGTTGCTTTTAAAACATTCTCTCAGAGACAAGCCAGATAGCTCCCAGGGTGGGCATAGTTTTTTTCTTTTAGTCAGGCCGGTGATAATTGTTTTTCATACTGGCAGTGAGTAATAGAGTAAAAAAAAAAAAAAAAAGGCTCCTGAAAGCAGGGGATAATTACGGGAAAATGGAACCCGTGACTGAATAACAGCAACTGGCTCTTGTCTCAGACCAATTAGCACTAAAGCAATTAATTTCTCCCCTCTGTGATAGAGCTGGAAGCCGTGGATCCAGGCTGTTCTGGGAAGCAGGAGTGACTGTTGGGTCATTCCAGCCTGGGCTGTCCCAGTCCCCTCCACTGAGAACATGGTGCCTCTGTGCTGAGCACAGTGTGGGGGGACTGTGCCATCCTTCCATCTGAGCTCTGTCGCTTTCTATCACTCACTGTCACACACACACACACACACACACACACACACACACACACACACACGAATAGGGGGACGGTAGCATGCATTACCAATGCCCACCACGTGGATTCAGCAATTACCAATCATGTGCAAAGTTTGTGGCCTCTGTCTCTGCCCCGTGGTGGTTTGTTTTCAGGCATTTTCAAGCAAATCCCAGCCTGTGTCGCTTCATCTGTTCGTACTTCAGTGTGTATCTCTAAATCTGGGTATTTTCCTACGTATCCACCACATTCTCATCACACCCTACAAGAGTATTAATAATCCCTTGATATTTATTACTTGAGACACAGCCAATATGGAAGGTTCCCTGATTGTCTCAAAACTGCCTTTGACAGCTGGTTCATTGAACTGTAATAGAAATCACATTCTATTAGTTTGTTTTGCCTCATGACTCTCTTCTGTTGAAAGCAGCATTCAGTGACCCTAGTGGGTGACACTTTCTGGATTATTCCACCTGCCATTTTCTCATATCATTTAGCTCCCCCCACATCCCCCCTCCATTTTATTATAGATCTGAAAGTTCTCTCTAAAAGGCTTTTTTGGATTCAGATCCAACTGCTTTTTTTCTATTTAAAAATTAATTTTGTCCAGCCTTATTGAGGTATAATTGACAAAATTATAAGATTTATAAAGCACATTATGGTGATTTGATATACATTATAAAAGGTTTCCTGCCATATAGTTAATTAACATATCCATCACCTAATGTTTATGTTCTATTCTTGTAAATTCCATTGATACAATACAGTGTTATCAGCTATAGCACATTGCTTTACATTAGAGAATTACTAGTACGTTCTAGTTAATAAGCACTTGGTTACAGGGCTGTGCGTTGCCATAAATCAGGCGCATCTTGATGCCTCTTGGTCCTGAGGTTCTCCATGGGACTGGAGGTGTGGGATGGTCATCATGGACAGCTGTGGGGTGAGAAACCTCTGCCTCAGTGCCTATAACCCTCACATGGACATGTGCCCTTTCTCCTCACCACAGGTGGACGGCTTATTTATTATTGGCTGGATGTACCTGCCTCCCCATGACCCTCATGTGGACGACCCAATGCGATTCAAGCCCTTGTTTAGAATTCACCTGATGGAGAGGAAGTCAGCCACAGTGGAGTGCATGTACGGCCACAGAGGGCCCCACAACGGCCACGTTCAGGTGAATGCATGCGTGGGCTTTCTCAGACATGGCAGCCACATGCAGTCGAGGGGTGAGGTCTCCCCTGCTCTTCCAAGTTCTGGGGCCAGCTGAGTTTGCAGGGGTGTTTCTAGCTAAAAACCTGTGTCCATACAGATCAGGGGAAATGGAGAAAAAACGGCTCTCCCTCCATCCCTTCTGTGTATTTATGCTGTGGTGCTGTGATGTAACTCCCCAAAGAATCACTAGTTGGAACCCTCTACTGATTCTGCATCCAGTTAAAACCATTTGTTATTTCCAAATACAATTCCTTACTGTTCTGTTTTCAAAACGATAGTCCCCTTTTCCTGCTCTAACAATCTCCTTGGAAAAGCACAAACACACCTCTCTCTTTGGTGCACCGCTCCTCTGAGCGTGCTCAGGTAGTCCTGAGCTCTCTTTTCTGGACTGGTCACGATTTGTAGGCATATGGGGCTTCTGTAGATGAGTGGGGTGCAGCGTCGAGGAGGGGTTCATCATCTGATGGAGATGCCATGGATGATTTGTTGTCCCTCTCTCTCCTTTGTCATGAATGCTCAAGATTGTGAAGAAGGACGAGTTCTCTACCAAGTGCAACCAGACGGAGCACCACAGGATGTCTGGTGGGAGACAAGAGGTGAGCCTGTGCTCCTGGGCACAAGGAGCAGATGTGAGGTTGGCATCATCAGCATGCCATCAAGAGCACCCTCTCTCATGCTTCATCCTCACACTGTTGCTGCAGAAAGTGTGCCTGACCCTTTGTCAGAAATGGCCTCATATGGACTTGTGTACGCAAGCATACACCTTCGTTTCCTCTCTGCTATGCAAAGAGCCGAGGTCCAAGGAAATCTCAGTATATTGCTTGCCAGTTCTGCCAAAATAACCTGGAGGACTGGCTGTGAAAGACATGAGCTTATTAGGACTTACGCGCAGGCCAGTGAAATTACTGCAACACAGGCTTTCACAGTACAGGATTATATAGAGCACAGGAAACAAAGCAAATGGGCCGTGCTGGGTAGGCATGCTAACACACACGCACAAGCTGTGCAAGATACAAGTGCCAGCTATTTGATCCAGGTTCACATCCGAAAACATCTTCTTTTTGGCGGCTTCCTTGACTGAGAAGTTGGCCAGGCTCCCAAGGTCCCACAGCACCCTTACAGATGGCCTTCATATTCCTGCGGGGTGAGAGGAGGAATTGGAGCCTGGTTAGGGCCCATGTTCTCACAGACCACACACCCACCAATTCTCAGAATGAATGACCAAACGGAAATTGTTTTCAGTAGGCAATCCTTCATCCCGAGAGCTTCCATGTGCTGTACAGGTTTCTTCTTGGAGGTGAGTTACAGGCAGATGAGAGGACGGTTCTCAGAGCCCCCTGTTCTCTCCGCAGGAGGACCTGGTGATTGAGATTTCAGACCAGGCAGAACAGTGGATAAACCTGCGTGTCAGCCACACCCAAGAGTCTCTTTGTGCTTCCTTTTGTTTGAACAAGTACTTTTAACTTGTCTTTGAGTTGTAGTTTTCTGAGGATCTAAGTCATAATACCACTTCAAATACTGTCTCTTCTTTAAAATTTTATTTATTTTAAAAAATATGGAACACTTGGCGAAACCGGTTTGGTTCAGTGGATAGAGCGTTGGTCTGTGGACTGAAAGGTCCCAGGTTCGATTCCGGTCAAGGGCATGTACCTTGGTTATGGGCACATCCCAGTAGGGGATGTGCAGGAAGCAGCTGATTGATGTTTCTCTCTCATTGATGTTTCTGATTCTCTATCCCTTCCACACAGCAATTCCAGTTCTGCATGATCCATAAGGTTTCCATGGAGTTCAGACAGTGGAGTGAGGGTAATAACACCAGGCATCCTCCTAGATGGCTCCAGCCAAGCCTGGTGCTAAGCCATTCACATGTGGTATCCTATTCAACCCTCCTAGATCACTAGCCTGCCAGGGCAGGTGAGCCCTGCCCCCCACCCTCCCTCCCCCCAATGCTCCTGTTGACCCTAGTATTGGCCTTGGTGAAGGCAAGACTAATTAGTACATGGACTTTGGGTTAGCTCTAATTCTGTCACTTACTAGTTGGGCAACTTTGGAAAGGTTTCTCTACTTTTATAAGTTCCAAATCTCTGAAGAACAAGGAAAATGTTAACACCCATATCCTAGGCCTGTTGTGCAGATTAAACAATGATTACACACACAGTGTTAACACATAGTAAGCCAGCCCTGGGTAAATATTAGACTGATTCTTATATATTCTAGGCCCCTAAGTTTTTCTTTATGTTTATATATGCTGTAAGATTATTTTATAGTAAACATGTATTTAAAAGTTCTTTGTTCTAAATAATTGGGTCTGGTTGGTATTCCTAATGACTTTGGCCTTTTCATGCAAAGTAATAAGATTAGGACTATTCACAAGCCATCTTCTCTATGGCGCTTAGCTCAAGTCTGATTATTCACCATGGCAACATTGAAATCCTTGTTCATTACATTCACTTGCTTCCATTTTTATTTGCTATTTATCTCTTTTATTTTTTTTAAGGACCTTTATTTCATGAGTTGAACCATTTAAGTGGAAGGTTTTGACCTTGGTGAAGTATAATTTGTCAAATTATTTTTTTATGGTTATTTTTTATGTGTCCTAAAAAACTTTACCTATCCTCAAATGACAGTCTCTCTCTCTTCCCCTTTTTTTCCCCTCTTCCCCTCTCCCTCTCACTCCCTTCCACTCTAAAAATCAATGGAAAAAATATCCTCAGGTGAGGATTAACAAAACAAAACAAATCAGCTGACCAGATAAATGGGGGTCTGATTCCAGGCTCTCTGTTTAGTTCTATTAATATATTTGTCAGTCATTATGCTAATATCACCGTCTCAATTACTGTAGCTTTATAGTAAGTTGTAACATGGGCTAGTTGCATCCTTCAGCTTTATTCTTTTGCAAAATTGCTTTGGACATTTAGGTTTTTTAAATTTCCACAAGAATTTCAAAATCAGCTTGCTTGTTTCTAAAGAAAGGTTATCCTGGTAGGATTATGATTGACATTGAATGTGTAGGTCAGTTTGTAAATTGCTGATTTAATGGGGAGTCTCCAGTCTGTAGGGACTTCTCACTATTATTCGGCCTCTTTACTTTCTTTCAGCAGTGTTGGCATTTTCAGAGTGGAGGTTTGTACATATTTTATAATATTTATTCCCAAGTCCTGTGGTTTTGTTTTGTTTTAGGTTATTATAAATAGGATTAAAATTGCTTATTTTATAATTTTGTGCTGCTTGTATATAAAAATTTAGTTGATTTTTAAATATTAACTTTGTAGTTCTAATAGTTGTTTTGTTTACTCACTAGTAATTTTTGTTCTTTGCCAGATTTGAGCAGTAGCATACTAAAGCACTTGACAGATTGTAGCTCTTTTGTTGTTTTGGTAAATTGCTTTCGCTTTCATTTATAGAGCAAATTCTACATAATCATTAGAAACACTATATTGAATTAGGAACTCAGTTCTGTGGGTTAAGTTAAATGTGCAAATGAAGCAATTAAGCACTAAATATCCTTCCCGGTGTTTGATTCCGTAATGAATTATTGAGCTTTGGGGTCTTTTTGCACATGCACTTACCGAACATACAACATTATTATAAAGACACATTTGAGAAAGGAAATTCCACCCAGTCCCTCAACTCAGGCTGTCCCATGTTCCTCAGCAGCAGCTGCAGAAAGTGCGTCTGGCCAACTCACCAGCCCCGGACTTGGCGGCTGAGCCCTGCTGTGCTGCTGCTCTCCCAGAACCCCGAGGACTAGGCTCCGAGGCTGTGCAGGGTCAAGCCAGCTCAGCATAGACACCTCCTGGTTCATGGGCATGAAGTGAAGCTCCTGTGCTGTCCCTGGGAGCTCTGGGCCTGGACTGTGGCCCAGCCTCACCTGAAGGGACCCTGCTCCTTCCCCTGAAGTCTGGGTTCATTTTTCTCTGGTGGCACGCCTAGCAGGAAGGCAGGCCAGGTGCTGGGAGACCGAACACAGGCAGCTCCCCATTCTCCTGCCCAGCCCTGTCTCCGTCTGTCCACCCAGGTGGGTTCCTTCGTCATAGGTGTGCCCACAGCTATAAAAATGCTGCTTTATTCAATCAGGCTCACAGGTAGCAGGCTCCATGCCCCCGTGTCATGGTGGTTTTCACGACCTGTGTTCTCTTGGAAGGAGTTCCGAACATGGCTGAGGGAAGAATGGGGGCGGACGCTGGAGGACATTTTCCACGAGCACATGCAAGAGCTCATCCTGATGAAGTTCATCTACACCAGTCAGTATGAGTAAGTGCGGCCGCCCTCTGTGGTGCTGAGCACAGTCCCTCCCTGTGGGTCCTGTGAGTGCAGTCTCTGTGGGAGAATTGTTAACTCAGTACCTCCCTCTCTCGGAACTCCTGAGCAGTTCCCATCCCCACCTCCTCACCTGCACCCCATATATTTTCCATCTTATAGGCCTGCTGTATGAGCCTAATCCTCAGGGTTGTTTTCCCTCATCCACCCTGGGAGGCCTGCTTTCTCAGCCTCTCTGTCCCTGAGCCCTGTCCTGCAGCCCCTGTTTAGTCCCTTTACTGTGTCCCTTGCCCATGTCTTGGGTTCCTGTCCCAGGGACAGAACAGGAGTGGCATTCTCTTCCCTCCTCTGAGAGCTCCACTCCAGCTGCCTTGGGGGGCCCAGCAGAGACATGTGAGCCCCTGTTAAGCCTTGTTGGAATCAGAGGAGGTGTGAGGGTACCATGCACCTGTGAGTAGGGTGAGCATGGCTCAGGAACATGGAGTGCTCATGCTCCCTACTTACCTGGCCATTCTCATCTGCCTGCCTCCCCCCCCCCCCCCCCCCCGGGTGGGACAGGGAGGTATGGGCTCTGAATTGCTGTGGATCTGTGGGACTCTGCCATGTTGTCACACTACCCACTCTCCCCACAGCAACTGCCTGACCTACCGCCGCATCTACCTCCCACCCAGCCACCCAGATGATCTCATCAGGCCAGGCCTCTTTAAAGGCACCTACGGCAGCCACGGCTTAGAGATTGTCATGCTCAGCTTCCATGGAAGGCACGCCAGGGTCACGAAGATTACAGTAAGTCCTGGGGCTACCGCCGGGTCCAGCCCTGTGTGGACTTGTCAGGTTGGCCATGGCAGGGCACTCGGGCTGCACATTGGCTGCTTGGTATGGCTGGGGCCTGCAGCACTGCTTCACCAGGGAGCTGGGCGGGAGTGCAGATCCTCAGACCCTCCCTGGGCCCACCCACCCAGAATCCTAGGGGATTTTGAGCACTTCCGCTGCCCTTCAGGGCTCTTTTCCTGGCTGCACACTGACATACCTTGAGAAAGGGAAGTTGAAAAAACTCTAATGCCCTTGCCCCACCCTACAAATTCTAATTTAATGTGGAGGGGGCTGGGTAACGGCTTCACAGCCTCCCCAGGTGACCCCAAGGACCAGCACATTGGAGACCCCCTGCAGTAGCACATAGGCCCACTGCATGTGCTGTGCTCAGCAGCTTGTGAAAACAGTTGGAGGGTTGTTGAGCCACATAGGCCCTGTGTTGCCTGCCTGCTCATTTTGGGCTTACCTGTCATTGTGGGGTGAGTTTCTGGCAGATACACTAGAGCATCCTGAAGAAGCAGCACCACTTCCTAGTCCTCACAGAGCATTGCTCTTGAACCTCTGTCTGCCGGGAAGCCTCTGCTTGGGGAAACCTCATGTGAACAAAAGCCTGGAACCAGGGCTGTGTCCCTGGCACAGGGGGGCTCTCCAACAGGGATTTCCGCATGCTCCTGGGGCTTGTGGAGAGCTGCAGGGCCTGGGGCATCTCCTGGGGTACAGGCTTAGGAGCTTCTGCGTTCCAGGCAGACCTATCTGGGCTGGCCCCTCAGGCCTTCTGCCCTCTGCCTGACCCTGGGAGAGGATGAAGTTCTCTAAGCCTTGGTCTCTTCAGCTGCCACACAGGCTAGTTTCCACCTGTGGCCTTTGAATGCAGATGAGCTACTCTGTTGGGTGCCTGCAGACCCTCAGCAGATCACTAGTCAGTGTTGTCATTTTTTGTCCTCAACCATCCTTTCACTGATGGGGCTGCCTCCTCTAGGCACTAATTTTTTAAGGGTTTCTAAAATGGTCCTACTTTTCAAATGGTTGCTGCTAAGTCAGTAGGAATGTTGAGTGAGCTCATCTGGCCAGAGGTGAGATATAGGCGGGTATTTCTGCTACTCTCTGAGCCCTGCTGACCACCATCCACTTGATCCACAGGGTGACCCCAACATCCCTGCCGGGCAGCAGACAGTAGAGGTCGACCTCATGCACCCCATCCAGCTGCCCACTGTCGATGACCTCTACAACTTCAACGAACTCTCGCGCATCGTCCTGGAGGCTCAGGAGGAGGTGCACCGGGAGCAGCGGCAGCCAGAAGGCAGGACTGAGGACGGCGAGGGTTCCAGCGAGGGTTCCAGGCCACCCACTGAGGTCAGAGAGCCCGAGCCCGGGAATGAAGGGGCCGCAGCTTTGAAGGAGGAGCCTCTCCAGTTTGTTCTGCCTGTGGGTGTGAGCTCAAGGAACGAGAACTATCCCCGAACCTGCAGGATATGGTAAGGACAGGAGGGTGGGTGAAGTTTTGGGGTGGGACCTGGCTCTGGCAGGCCGGCTTGCTGCACCAGAATGGGAGCCTCTGATGGTTGGACCAAGCTCATACCTGAACGGATGGCACTGTTTCCTGAGCTGTACAGTCAGCTGTCACATCCCTTGGGGAGCCTCAGACTTGGGGTGTTAGAACTGTGAGGTGTGAAGACTCCTCCCAGAATGCCTTGCATCACATAGTTACTAAGGTAAAAGGGAGATGAGGCAGGATGTCAGGCAGCATTGAAGCAGACAGTGAGGAAGAGGACTCTCCCCCGCCCACACCTCTCCATGTAGAAAGGCTGCTTGGAGTTCGCCCGGATGTCCTTGCAGGTAAGGCCTGTCGGGAGTTCTCCATCCATCTCCTAATGAAGGTAATTCTGAAGTCAATTCATTATTTCTTCCTGTGATTTCCCTCCCTCCTTCTCTCCTTCCTCCTTTCTGTTATTTTTCTGCCCTTCTCTGCTACTTTGGGCCAGCGCTGCAGTGGCCACCAGAGTGAACCCCAGCCCAGACAGCACTTGGAAAGGGGCTGGCACTGCTGCTTCCCTCCCTGCAGAGGTCCCGATCCCTGATTCTCCCCCAGGCTGCCAGCTCTTACCTGACTTGCTGTACTTAGGGTTTTGTCTCAGGCCCCTGCTTTCAGCTACTCAGGCCCACCCCTGCCATTCAGGCCATTCCCTGGGAGATGAGTTACTAGACCCTTGCTCTCAGTCCCCTACATTCCAGAGCTATTTAAGTTTTGCTAAAACGAATAAAGTTAAAAATTCAGGTCCTCAATTGCACTGGCCACATTTCAAATGCTCAGTAGCTGCATGTGGCTTCCTGCTACCACATTAGACATGCAGATCTAGAATATTTCATCATCACAGGCAGTCCTCCTGTACGGTTGCCTGAGTGGGCATTTTGAGGGAATAATCTGTCAGTCTCTTGGCATTACCGCTGACCCTCTTCACCTTGTCCAGGTTATGTGTAAAGGTTTGTCTCCCTTTACTTCTGGGCCAGCTGCTGTGTTGTGTCTCTGCAGTGGCTGTTTACTAGCACTTACAGACTAGCAGTGTGGGCAGCTGGCTGAGCTCCCTGAAGAGGACTACATGGGCTTAGCAGAAAAAGAATTATTATATTTTCTTGTTAAACAATTATGATAAAAGTGATTGAATCTGGTTTTTCCAGAGGGAGATATACAAATAGCATTCCAATATAATTTCACCTGATGTAAATATTTTTGTACAGTTTAAAAATTTTTTTATTTTAGTATAGTTGACATTCAATATTATATTAGTTTCAGGTGTATAAATCACATCTATATACCTTACGATGTGATCATCACAATAAGTCTAGTAACCATCTGTCACCATACCAAGTTATTAGGATATGTTGACTATTTTTCCTATGCCGTACATTACATTCCCGTTTGAAAGGCCATAAAAGAAAAAGGCTCTGTGATTCCTGTAAAGCTTGACAGGTCCTAGTAGCTCATGGCCAGCCAAGAGCCCATTCGTAGCTCACCTGGACGTTGGGTCCAACCAGTCCCGAAGCTCTGGTCCAGACCCCTGGCTGAGCTGTAGGATGGTCCTCCACCCCATCCTGAATATCTGGGGCTCCATGGCTTGGGAGGGGCTGCTGCGATCCTTCCTTGTCTGGTTTGTGAGGCGGTGCCACAGCGACCCTACAGGAAACATTTGCTGTGTGTTCTCTAAGCCTTTGCCTCCTTGTAGCTTCTGGTCCTTTTTCCCCACCCAGGAAACCCTCTGAACCACAGGCTGCTCTCCCTTCTTCAGCCCAGCAGTGTCTTAGTGTGCCCGGGAGTTTTGGGGATCTCTGGCACCATTGCAAATGCTGGGAGATTCAGGCCAGCCCCTGACTTACTGTCATTCATCAGAAGCAAGAAAGATAAATGTGTTTTAGCCTCATATATAGAGATCTCAATAGTTGGTCATATGATATTTGAAAGTTTGATGATCTGAGTTAATGTCAGTTACATGACAATAAGTCTTCATTGATTATATTTAAATTGTTCAAATGTTGACATAGCTTCCCTAGGAATTAAGATTTTGTTACCTGGGCCTGCATTATGAAGATATATGCTTTGGGACAGAGTTGTGAGGTGGGGCTGCTTGAGATCCTCCTCCTGTAGTGGGGTGAAGTGGTAGAAATCAATGTTTGGTGGAGTAATCCCAACCATTTGTATCCCCACCGGCCCAGAGCCCTGCCTCTGCTAGATGGCTTGGCGTGTGGACATGGTTGTGCAGGGCCCAATGAAGACAGGCTCTCTTGATGTCTACTGATGCTTTGCTTCTTCTTCTTCTTCTTCCTTTTTTTTTTTTTAATATATATATATTGATTTTTTTAGAGTGGAAGAGAGAGGGATAGAGAGTTAGAAACATCGATGAGAGAGAATCATCCATCAGCTGCCTCTTGCACACCCCCTACTGGGGATGTGCCCACAACCAGTGTACATGCCCTTGACCGGAATCGAACCTGGGACCTTTTAGTCCACAGGCCGACACTCTATTCACTGAGCCAAACCAGTTTTAGCTGCCTTACTTCTTGCTGGTGAATAGCAAAAAGTGGTTTGAATGGAATGAAGGGTGTTTTAGAACACCCGGATGACACAGGGCTTGACTGGGGCCAGTGCAGAGCCTCGAAGCTCCTCTCACTCTTCTTTCCCTTGTGCTTCCCTCTTTCTTTGTTCAGTTTCTATGGCACAGGCCTCATCGCCGGCCACGGCTTCACCAGCCCCGAGCGCACGCCTGGGGTCTTCATCCTGTTTGACGATGACCGCTTCGGGTTCATCTGGCTGGAGCTGAAATCCTTCAGCCTGTACAGCAGAGTCCAGGCCACCTTCCGGAATGCGGACGCACCGTCCCCGCAGGCCTTCGAGGAGATGCTCAAGAACATTCAGTCCCTGACCTCCTGAGGGCCCCTTCCCCTCGGGGGCGCGGTTCCAGACTCTGTGACCTGGGAAGAACAGCAGCATGCACTTTGGAGATTTGACCTTCTGACCAGAGCATCCACCTTCTTGTAGGCTTCTTGACCCGAGATGCTTTCTATAGAGTGTGCAACATATGTCTGCATATTTATCAGTAGCTGATGGGAAGGCTGAGCTGAGCATGTCTTATAAAAAAAAAAAAAAAGAATTGGAGAAATTGAGTTTGTCTTTGGCTCACTGACAGTTTTCTAGGGAAAACAAAATCCTCCTTCAGGGAAGCTCATTGACATAACTGAGTCTCTTGATGTAAGGGTCCACTGTGTGGGGTGCCTGCTCCACCATCCACTGTGCAGGAAGCACAGAAAGTGGCCACAGACCTGTGAGGGCCTGGCGAGGTGAACTTCTGTACAGCCTGGGCAGGTAGTGAGGGTAGTGTTTGTGGAAAGAGAGCCCCAGGGAGTTGGGGTGTCAGTCTCAGGACACAGGACTAAATTCCTATTTTTCTTGTTTTCATTTTGTTTTGTTTTTTTCTTTTTTGTGAACTCCCATTTCTATACTGACTCAGACTTGGACAAAAGCACTTCACCCCCATCTCAGTTTCTGAATCAGAAAAATAGGGCTGGCGATATGGGTCACTAGAGAATGTCACTGCAGGCCTTTGAGCAACTTGGAAGCCTTGGGAATACTGCCCCTGGTCCTGGTCGCTGGGCAGCACCCATGTGCCTGTCCTGGCCTCTCTCTCACATTAGAACTCTCCCTTCAGCCATTTCCTGTCAGTGCTCATTGTGTTACACCACCTCCACCACCACACACACACACACAATCTGATGTTAGAATCTCAAACTGCAGCCACATGTCCCAGTACTGGACAGGGCTATGTCTTTTTACGACCCTGCGTTTATTCCATCTGCATGATGTACGCAGGCGCTGTTCTGGGAAGTGTTACAGCACATGAGGACTGCAGCCCTTTGTGGGCAAGAGGGCAGCTTTCTAGAGAAGTCACACTGTACGAATCAGGGTGCCCTTTGGAGACCAGGACCTCTTCGGGACCCTCCCGTACGGAGACCCTGAGCACTGACTTCTCCTGGTGGCGTGCCCGTGTTGGGTTGACACCTGTATTAGGGAAACCCCTCTGAGGTCCTTGCTGATCTCGGTGTCTATTGAAGAACAGAGCCCTAAATGCATGCTGGTCTCCAACAACGCTTCACCGGGGGCAGGGCAGAGTTTGTTCCCCTCTCGGTTACTTTTCCTTGTTTGGTGGTTTGCACTGAGCCCTCACACTAGTGGCGAGGGACCCCAGGGAAAGGGGCAGCTTGGTGGTACCTTCATGTAGAGACCAACCTGAGCTGTCTTGTGAAATTTGTCCTCTGTTTTCCCGATTAATTTCTCTCTGGCTTTTTTTTTTTTTTTTTTTAATAAAAACATCCCCAGTGCCCTAGCTTCAATTCGTTTGGCAACTTTGACCTTTTGCTTCCCAGTATCATAGAATTGACAAGCTCTGGGACAGAGCCCCTAAATGGCAAACTCATCCTCCTGAGAGGTTCTGTGGAGAACCGAGAGAGAAAAGTGAAGAAGGCAAGGTCCCTCCTGGGCAGCTGCGGGTTCACCTGCCTGGCGCTGTCAGCTGAATCTCATTAGAGATGCATGTCCTTTGCTCACCTTCCAGATCCTTCTAGCAGGTCCTGGAGTTAAGTTGAAACATGGTCCCAGTTTCCACATCTTTGGCAGGACTGAGCCTAAAAGTGTCACTGCTCCTGCCTTACAGAATGACTTCCTCTCATGCCAAGTGTGGCCGGCCTGGAACCCTCGGGATAATTATGGCCGTGAAGCTTTGAGGAAAGTGAAAACAAAGGACAACTGGGTGTGCAAGCCCTTGTTCTCTGTGGTTCACTGTTGCTTAAGTGAATTCAAGAAAATGCCTATTTTACCTAGAGCCTGAGGCTCGCTCTAAGGCAGCGGTCGCCAACTGGTGGTCTTCGGACCACTGGTGGTCCATGAGGTCTGAAAGGTTGGCAACCGCTGCTCTAAGGAACTCCCCTCTCCATCTGAGGCCTCCCCTAAACATTGTAGAGATCACATGGATTGAAGTTGAGTAGTTTTGATTCAAAACCAATCTCAAATCTGAATGCTGTAACCTGCCTCCAGTGTTTGGGTCTACACATGGCTTCTCCAAATACTGACCAAAGTAACCCTTGCTGTGGGCTGTTGACTGCGTTCATGTCGGGCCTGTCTCTGGTGTGAGGTGAGGGCCCAGGGCCTATGATATCTGTCCTGGCAGTGCCCGCAGTGACACCAGGCAAGGCCAGCCACCAGTACAGAACATGTGTTGTTTCCCATTCTGATAGGTCTTCAGCCAGCTAGCTCCGGGTTTCCAGTTCAGCAGTGAGTGTGCAGGGACCCAGCACCGCTGGCTTCCTCGGTCAAGGGAATGGTCAGGCAGCTCATCAGAACTTCCTGCTTGAATTAACTTCGGAAGAATTAACTAGACCCGAATGACCCATTTTAGGGACCAGCAGTGCCCATGTGGTGCTTGATTTGGGAAAGGTGGCAGGTGGACCTAGGAATATCCTTAGACATTTTTCCGTCAGTGCCACCTTTGCTTACCACCTTGCTGCTGGGAAGTTGGGTAAGGCAAGTCTGCCCTGTGGACTGCAAGAAACACCTGCTTCTGTATACTCGGACATGCTCTGTTCTCTGCTACTCAACTGAAGAGGATGTGATTGGAGATTTCAGGCACAATTCATTGGAGAGCCTTCTATACCAGGGCTGGATGTTCATTGCAGTTGAATAGCTATTGACACAGGCCTGGCGTATGTCCAGTTCTATCTGCTCATCCAGTTCAGACCTCCAGAGTCTACTGCTGAGTGTAAACAGGTTTGAAGGCCGTGGGAGAATTCCTGACCCTAGCCTGGGACCTCTCTTTCTGAGCACATGCCCAAGTTTGGGCATCTGGCTCAAGTGGCTGGTGCTTGCTGCTCTGCTTCTGTCCTCCTGTGCCTTCTGTCCTGACCCCAGCTCAGGCCCAGGCAAGTCCTGGCCGGTGTGGAGAGCAGGGAGTGCACATAGTGGTCTGACTAGCTAGATGCAGGTGGGCCTCCATTCCTGCTTCATGCAGATCTAGCCCAGGGGCCAAGTTGACATGACAGGCTTTCTTTCTACCCCTATTTCCCCCCCCCCCCCCCGACTTTTAGAGAAAGAAGAAGGGAAGGAAGAGGGGAAAGAGAACTACGGACATGAAAGACACATCAATTGCCTCCCTCAAACACCCAGAACAGGGCGGGGATCAAAGCTACATCCAAGGCACATCCCCTTGACCAGGAATTGAATCCCAGTCATTCAGAGCACCAGCCAACACTCCAACCACTGAGCCAACCCAATCAGAACTACAGACTTCCTCTTTCCCTGAGAACTTGGAGCTGACTGCTGCAGCCAAGATTGATTCTCTCCACCCTGACGACACTTCAGGGCTGGTATTCAGTTTATGGGTTGCCCAGGTGTCCTCGCACTGCCAGTGAGTCACTTTTTAGTGCTCATGAACAGTGTCAAAGGAATAGAAACCTGTCAGTCCCTTTGTCGCTTAGTGAACTTAGTGACCGGAATTGAAATTGCCTAAGTTCCTGTGTCTGGTGTATAGCTTCTGAGCAGCCAGATATCTGACTCCGAGTTTGGAGAAAGCAGTCGTGTGCTTTAGGAGCCTTTTATTCTGTTCATTAACTTTGTGTTCCAGCTGTTAAAAGTGCTTTGAGAATGTTCTAATTTTTCCTGAACTTGAGGAAAAAATACCCCGATTATGGGTCTTCCCAGTGTTAATGTAGGCTAACCTCTCTGTCTTTACTTTTGGGGGAAGATCTGGCATGTAATCTGACTAAAAGATCTCAGAAGTATTTAGTGTAGAAGAAAGCCACTGTTAGATAAGACAAAGGTCCCAAAGTCTGGGCAGTTTTTACTATTACTAAATGCTATTGTTGCTAAAGGTTAAAATGCACAGTATTTTGCAGAGGCAACTTTAAAGGATGAGTTTGAGCAGAACCCAACCTGGTAAGTTTAGGCAACTGCCAGGAAGAAATGAATGTGTAATTGTCAAATAGTGTATACAAGTAATGGCTAAGCCTCCCTCCGGGAGACAGAGCTTTGGGTGTCCATCTCCTTTACTTGTTACAAGTAAGTAAAACTAACAACAATCATATCTTGCATAGGACACCCCAGGCAGCAAACCCCTTTAGATGGGTAACACCACAGTGCCATCAGTTTGTCTGAAACTGTCATTGGAAATGGGATGTGCACATGCGTGTTTGTATTCACACAGGCACAGATCATACAGCACCCTTCGGGCCTTCCCACACTGAGGAACCGGGCTGTACCTGGGAGCCCCTGGAGACCTCTGATCAGGCCAGAACATGGCTCTGGCTGTCATGTTGAGAAGGGACTGCAGGTGGAAAAGGTGGTGGGAGATGTCCCCGGGAGGCTGCTGTGGGGATTCTGGTAAGGGCTGGCATGGCCTGAACCCTGGAAAATGACAGGACTCTGGGTAAGGAGTTGTGGACTTCTGGACTGGGTTCGAGGGGTGGGAGAGAAGAGCTGATGCCGCCTTTGCCCCTCTGTGCCACTTGCCCCAACACTGTCTCGGGACCTGCCGGCTAGTGGCTCAGTGCTGGAGCCTACTTTACAGAGCCGCTGTGACTACTCATTGGACTGCAGGTGCCTGGACACAGCTCAGGGTAGCTGCCATACCAACACGGGAGCCCCAGTGTCAGGAGGAATCCACAGGTCGCCCTTGTTCACACAGTCATTCAGAGCGTGACTGCTGAGCGCCTTGAGGACCTAGACTCAATTCCTGTCCTCTTCTCAGGCCCCTCCAGGATGCAGGATGGAGCTAGGGGCTGGCTGAGCCTGGTGAGTGCCCCTCATCACCATGGCGCTTCTCTCTGTTCTCAGTGTTCCATGGTTGGATTGGCGAGCTTCCACTAGGCACCACAGGCAAGTGAGAC